TAAGCCACCGGCCCTGGGACTCCACCCCCAGTTGACTACATGGGAATCCAGCGACATAGCCATTACACTAATTGCTGGTCCCAAGCTGAGCTATTTTTAACTGATGCTTTTTTTTTTTTTCTTTAGGTTTTTGCCATAGGGCACATGTGCTCATCAGAGACAGAGAAAGGTAAAGTGAGAAGTTACCCCTCAGGGTGATCAGTCATGTTGCAGTCCTTTCTTCTCCATTCTCCTCTCAGGATTTTGGGCACACACATATGCACCCAGCATGATCTTCAAGCCGCTGGGTTGAAGACTCAAACCGAGGTTGGCCATGTGGGAATCCAGCACCTTAACCACCACATCACATACTGACCACACTGATGGATTTTTTTTTTTTTTTAAGTAATAATCATTCTTGTCTATGGAAAATGGATCTTTTAAGGAAAAGAGGGCGCGTGCGCTTGCCAGACAGACAGAGAGAGACATAGAGACAGAAAGCAAGAAATCACCCCCCAGGGGGGATGGTCACGCTGCAATCCCTTCTCCTCCATTCTCCTCTCGGGATCTTGGGCACGCACGCACACCCGCCCGGCGTAAGTTTGAAGCCACCGAGTCCATGACGCGAACTGCGGTCGACTACGTGGGAGTCCAGCGACATAGCCATTATAGGAAAAGAAAATGTTTTGAGCTAGCCCCATGGCCTAGTGGTTAAGGGAGCCAGATCTTACATGGCTAGCCGTGGTTTGAATCCCGGCCCCGGCTGCTTGAAAAACATGCTCAGTGTGTGTGCACATGTGACCCAAATCCCAGCAGGGTGGAGAGATGGAAGAGAAGGGATTGCTGCATCATCCCATTGGGGGGTACTTTCTTTTTCTCTCTCCCTCTCTCTCTCTGGCAAGTGCATGCACTCTCTAGTGATTTAAATTTAAAAAGGAACAAAATCTTTTAAAAATGCCAAGCATTTTATATTGAAGATTTGGTGTAGTGTAGCTCTTTAAATTTTGCTCTAGGTTCACATTTTTTACCTTAAACCTTCATTTTTTTAGCCTGTGTTTTTCAAATCCATCTAAATTTTATTGTAGAACTTAACTCATCTAACATAGTTGGTGTTTTGAATGTATGATGTAGAAGGCTTTGGTCCTAGCCCTTCTGAAATGTCAGTATTTTTTTTTAAGTGTATTTATTCATGTCTTCCATGAGTGAGAGACAGGTACACTCAGCAGGGTCCCAACACCAGAGCCCCTCCTCAGCCTCAGCCAACCTGGACCACGGGCCCTTGTGTGCCCAGTGGACTCAGAGAGGTCTTTGGATGTGAACACAGAGCCTTCCCATTTGGGCCAGTCTCTCAGAGCATTGTGTTTTAGCACTACACCACTTTCTGTCCCAAATTAAGCATTTTCCTCAGTACTCCATGGCTCCAAATTCAAGCACTTTCCTGAAGTGGATAGTATTGCTTTATTATGGATGTAGAACACACACATAAAAATTTTAATAAAATTTTAATTAAAGGAATTCAGTGATTTATCACATATATCCTGTACTTTTCTCAGTAACTATAAACTTAGTGAACAGAATAGTCTTTTTCATCTACAGACTTCCACAGTTCTTTCTATAGACACTCTCTTGCCCACTAAGCAGTCTCACTGCCTCTTGTTGAATGTGTAAAGCGCTGTAGTTATACCCTGGATCTAAGGATATGTACACTGATTAATAGTGTATTTCTGTGCATCATGTGATTAGTCATTGTTGGAGGAGACCCAGAACCTACCAGAGGATTGGTCTTGGTGGCACAGGCTCTGAGACCTAAACGAAAAAAAACTATAAAACTCTTTTTTTACAGTTGCTTGCAAAACTATGTTTCCAAAAGAGAAAAGAAGGCCCAACTACAGTGGCACAGGCAGTAGGGCACTGTTGCACAATGCTGGAGCTGCATAGAAGACTCAGGTTCAGATCATGGACAGATCTAGATATGCCAGGCATATCTAGAACCCTAGTGCTGGGGTAGGAGGATCACAGCATGGTGAGATTCTCAAAAAATAATAATAAAATACCTCTCTCTCTCTCTCTCTCTCTTCTTCATTCCTTCCCACTTTTGTTTTAAAAAAGGAGAAACTAATGGGGCCAGCAGGTGACATGGTGGTTAAGACGCTAGACTCCCATATAACTGACTGTGGTTCAAGTCCTGGATTTGATGGCTTGCTTTATCACTTTCTCTCTCTTTCACCTTCCTCCCCCTCTTGTGTGTGTATGTACCCTATAGCAAATTTAAAAAATAATAATAAGGGGACCAGCAGTTGGTGTAATAGCTATGTCACTGAACTCCCATGTAGCCAATCATGGTTTGAGTCCCGGACCCAGTGGCTTAAACTCATGCCAGGCGTGTGCGCGTGCGGGCGTGCCCAAGATCCCTAGAGGAGAATGGAGGAGAAGGGATTGCGGCGTGGCCATCCCCCCTGGGGGGTGATTTCTCGCTTTCTGTCTCTATGTCTCTCTCTTTCTGGCAAGTGCATGCGCCCTATAGCAAAAACCTCTCAAATAATAATAAATAAAAAATTAAACAATTGCTTTTTTTAAAAAAAGAAAATATTAATGATTACTAAGAGTATTAAACATTTTGTACAGATATTATTCTAACTGCTTTATAAACATTAGCTCATCATATTCTCCTATCTACTCTGTGTGGTAGGAACTTTAGCCCCATTTCATGGGTCCTCACCCATGAAACTGAGGGCACAGAGAACTTCAGTGACTCTTGCCCAGAGTCACACAGCTGATAAACTGGGATGTGAGCCTGGGCAGCAGTACCCAAACCTTTCCCCTGACCCCCGCCCCACATGTCTTCTAGTGGGAGGAAGGAGCTCGGTCTATTTCATTTTGCATTTTTACTCACTGTTACCAGAACAGCCTCATGAATCACATTATTCCAGTCTTTACTTCACAGATCAGAAAACTAGGTGAACAAAGCCTGAGAGACTAGTCCTGCAAATGACTAGCAACAAAACCTGGATTCAATTTTATAGCACCCACGGTGGTTTCCCGAGGATTTGCCATTTCTGTTTGTAATTTTTGAAAGTAGTTTCATGGTATTAGCATAACTGATTGGCACCTGGGAATCAAATTTATTTGAACCCACCTCGTTATGCACTTATAAAACTGTGATTCAGAAATCCCAAGCTCCCTGTCTGTGTGTGTATATACATGTGTGCACACAGACACAGAGATTCTCAATGGAAATAGGATATAATATTTCCAGCACCATGTCCTAGGAACATAGATGATTTTCACTTTCTTCTTTTTTCTTTGTTTTTGTGTATGTTCCAGTTTTTCTATAATGAACACGTACTACTGAATATATAGTAAAAACAAAAGGTTAAAGTAAGTTTTTAAATAGGAGAAAAGTTTTAATTACTTATTTACTAAAGTTCTATGGGAAGATAACTTTTTAAGTTTAATTATAAAGCATTTTTAAACATACATAAAGAAGATAACTTTCTAAACTACAAAGGGGTGACTACAAAAGATAGAAATAGATTTAACTATGTATTCCTTTGGAACCAAAATAAAAGGAAAATAGACTTAGGAACATATTTACAGTAAATATGATCGTGTAAGATCTATAAAGCTCACACAAAATGAGGATGAAAGCATTAACTCCCAAACAAACAGGGAAAATGTGTAGATTATATAAAAGTTAATATAACTAGTAAACATAGAGAGTGGGGAAATATTAGCCACTCTGATAATGAAATAAGAGTTTAAAACTGAAATGCCATTTTTTTCATCTATCAGATCAGACCAGAAATAAAGAGTTTATCTTTGGTATTTTCAAGCTGGAGGGCTTGCATTGCTGCCAGCATTGTAAATGAGTTCTTTTGGAAAGCAGTCTGACAGTATGCACCTAGAACTAACAGTGTAGTCATACCCTTTTATCTAACAATCAGATTTATGAGAATTTCTCCTAAGGAAATAATTACAATTATGGAAAAAACTATGTACCCAGACATATTCAACAGGGCATAATTAATTAGCAGAAATTGGAAGTGACCCAAATAGCTAACAGGAAGTTAAATACATAATATTTCCATAGAAGCGGCCTGGCAGTCTTTAAAGACAATTACCCTAAGCTTTTGTAGCAACATAGGAAGGCATGCATGTTGTAATAGGAAGGGGAAAGACACTAGATGCAGAAGTGTTCACGCAGTGCGAGGAGGAAAATTGGTGCTAGAGGCAGAGATGAGTTTCCTAGGATTCTGCTTTAGTGTTTTCTTTGGTTTGGTTTGGTTTGGTTAATGTTCCTAACACCGAGAGCCCACTGGCAGAAGCTGGGAGCATGGCGGTGGCCCACAACAGTGGAGTGTGTAGCCTCTGGATACCATGCTCTCTAATGTTTTCAGGCCAGAAAGTGTATCTTGTTTCCATTCTGTTAAAATGCAGAAAGAGTTAAAAAGGCAGAAATGACGCCAGAAATAGTGCACCCCTCACAGCTGGAGAGGTCTTAGTCCCGAAGTCAGCCTGCCGAGTGTGGACTCGGGTCTGATGTCTAAGCAGACTTTGACGCCTTATTTCTTACTTTCCTCCAAGGCCCTGAACGTCCGTTTAGCACCCTGGAAAGGCCCCTCTAGGGTGACAACTCATGTCCACCCTCAAGAGCCTAATGTCTGGACATACAGAGATTTGACCTGTAGTTACTGCAAGCAGAGATGTTGAGTTTCCAGCATGGTGGGCAGGTGGACTACTCACCAAGTCCTCAGCTGAGCAGAATACTCAGTGAATGGAATCAAACTGTGTTTATGCACCAGCATGGCTTCTAGTCCTGCCAGGCTCAGGGTCACACGTGGTGTCAGAAAGCTTCCTGCCTTTGCAGAGCCTTTCCCTGTCCCCATCTCATCCTGAGCCTTATGTTCCTGCACCCTGTATCTAGCAGGTGGTGAGTGGGGATGAAATATTTGTGGGGACCACTCAGGTGTTCTTCTGTTGTGATTCACTGAGTTTACGGCGACATGAAAAGACAACCTTGGACTCTCAGGACAGGGGTTAAAGGAGGTGTCTAGGCTCATCTGGTTCATACGATCAAGATAACAGCACCCTACTTCAGGGGGCAGTCGTGAGGATGAACGAGGGTGAACAGTCACATACATCATGCAGACAGGGAGGGAACCTGAGAGTCTAGGAGTTTGTCTGTAGTCCCAACCAGAGTGAGTGCCACACAGGGCTGAGCAAACCTGACCCCAGCCTAAGCCTCTCACCCTGGTCTATAAAGATTCTGATTTACTCTGTCTGGAAAGTATTCATTTTAAAGGCAGTTTTTAAAGAGCAATAGTGTTTCATACCAGGAACGTCTGCTTTTCACCCCAGCTCAGAAGGTGGCAAAGGCTGTACCCCAGTGCTATAGTAGCCACAGACCAGTGTGGTGATACCATTGAACACGTGCAAATAGTAACTGAGAAGACAAGACTGGCTGTATTGGAGATGGCTATGCTTTGGTCCTCCTTCCACACTGATGAGTCTGGAGCCAAAGCCCGTCCTGGTGAGGGTCAAACCACGTGTAAAGGTTAGAGCTGCTTCAGGGAAATCCTGGTGCACAGTTTTGCATGTGTTATTTTTCATTTTCCAAACATGTTTTAATTTCTTGAAGTGTAAATAGCATGTATTTACCTCTTTAGTCTGACATCATCCTACTCCCAGTGGTGCCTGCCCTTACTCTGGAAAGGGTTCTGAGGAGCTCCGTGTTCTCACGGGTTCTCATGGGTGCTATGGCCTTATCCCTGCCACACGTCATGTGGTGCTTAGTGCTGAGTGCACTTCTCTGAGTACTCACATTCACCTCACCTTTTATACCTTGAGAAAACACCCTACATCTTCAAGGAATTTTTTTTTCCTTATTTTTATTAGGGAGCATTCATTTTACCCAGACTTTAAATATTAAGAGTTATTTATTTAGTTGCAGTTTGTAAAGAGTAGCTGGTAAGGTGCACAAATTAAGACTGCTCTTTGCAGAATGGACAATAAGACACACCCCCAAACCCACTGTTTCCTCTGTTTGCACATTTTGTCTCTGTTCCTTTGTGAATAAAACTCTTCAGTCTTGAGAGATTGATGTTCTTTTCTGAATGCTCTCACCTTCTTCTAAGCAAGACATTTGCAGACGTTTGTCTTCTGTGCTCTGTTGACAGAGGGTGTAGCAGATCCCCTGTACTCACCCAGCTGGAAAACCCTGTCAGTTCCACTTCATATCATGTTGGTGGGGATTTTCTTGTTCTGGTTTTTTTTTTATTTCTTTTTCTTCCCCAGGCCCACACATAGTTTCAGTCTAGTGAGGTTTCCTCCTGGGGCCTCACTTTTTCATTCTGCAAGCATCTGACATGCTAGAGTTTGAAACACTGTATCTTAAAAGATCAAAGGTTTTTGTTGGTTGGCTTGTTTTCTGACTTATTACAGACTTCACAAAATGTGTGATAAAACAGTGTTTTGAGAGTAACCTGTATTCTGAAATATGAAGTCTTATTTGTTGGCTCAGGGAAAAGTAAGCATGGTGTTTTATGACCCGTATTCTTGGGAATCACAGTTCATGTCTAGACAACAGAGATTATTTCATTCCAGTCATGATTCAGCGAGTTCCACATACTAAAATACCTATGTTATGTTGAAATTTCTCCTAGTGTGGGGAGAGTTGTACCAATTTCTTCTTCTAGTGATAATTTTGCAAAGTTTAGAGGCAGCTATTAAATAGCTTGCATGTTTTGAATAATTGATTTTTATTGGTCTTTAAAATATTAACTTTTTTTCTTAGGTTTTGCCATAGTGTGCATGTACTTGCTAGAGAGAGACAGAGAGAGGGAAAGTGAAAAATCGCCCATTAGCGGGATGGCCACACTGTAGTTCCTTCTCGAGGGGTTTTGGGCATGCATGCCTGGCATGATTTTCAAGCCACTTAGTCTAGGGTTCAACTGTGGTCGGCCATGTGGGAGTCCACCACCTTAACCACCATGCCGCCTGCTAGCCCCTGACCTTTTCTCTTTTTTTCTTTTTTTAACAGTTTGGAAAAGTACAAAAAAAAAATAAAAAGAACATTGTATAGTGAATGATTAGTGATTAGGGGAGCATAAATGTTCTTAGTTATTTTTCTTTGTTAATCACCTCAGTGATCCAGAAAGGAGAGGAATGTGGTAGG